CCTCCTCCGAGGACGCGTCACCCTCAGACTTGGCGTTGGTCTCCCCGTCGGCAGGTAAGATCCAAGTATCCAGATATCCGGCTAGATCGGACGTCGCGAGCACCTTGGAGTCTGCTGAGAAGGCGATATGTGTGATGGTCCTGTCGTAAGCCCCCAATCCGCCATTTTGGATGTAACGTGCAATTTGGCGTCGTAAGCGTGCAAGTCGTTGTACTTGAGGTTCAAAGGTGAAGGCGTTCTTGGGCTCATTAGGGTCAATCTTGGCCATCACAACCCGAGACCCCTCTTGGATTGCGCAGAGCCACTGAGAATCGGGGGAGAGCTGGATTTTTGTGGCGCCAATAGTTGTAAGCTTCTGAGGAAGCTCGATAGATGACATTTTAACATCCGAGGGCTTGACGGGGTCTTGATGGCTTAGCGTGAAGGCCTTGATATCGTTGGCGGTAGAGACAACGAGGAGTGTGCCTTCGGCGTTGATAGAGGCTGAGGTGATATTCGAATCTCCCTTGACAACAACAGTCTTGAGGAGCTTGCGGTTCTGGTTGATGTCGATATTTTCACCCTTGGCGTTGAACATGTCTGTAGCTGATTGTCGGAGAATCCAAACGTGAACCTCTCGCTCCCACCAGCTGACCACGAAGCGAGCCTTGGGCGCACTGAGAAGAGGCGCTTGCTGCGGTAAGCTTGACATGATACGGTGGTTCTCACGTCCCATTTCCTTCAGGGGAACCACGACAGGATTGGCATCGGGGCCTAAAATTCAGTTAGCGATGCTTCAGTGATATATAGAAAGGGTCAACCAACCTCCAGAAACAACAACACTGATCCTGCCACTCTCGAACGATGCCATAGACTTCACATCGTGGTCATGATATCTCCTGCCCCAAACCTTGCTCCATCGTTGACCGGCGCCAGCATTCTGCTTGTAGAGGATTGTGCGCCTGTCCATGCCTCCACTGAGGATTGAGGTGCCGTCGGCGCTCGTAGCAAGACTTAGGACATCTTGCTTATGGCTTTGGATTCGCTGAGTTTGCGTATATGTCTTGCCGTCCCAAATGCAGACCTGGCCAGTCGAGTCTCCTGAAACAATGTTGCCTCCAGGCAGACACTTGACAGACCAGACGATGATGTCCTTGGATCCACCGACGAGGTCAGAGCCAAGCGTCATTCTGCGCAACATGTGGCCCTTTGTGATGTCGTACGCCCGGATCGTGCTATCGGAGCATCCGATGATGGCGACCTTGCGAGATTGGAAGGTGATGCTGACCATCTGGGCCTTCTTGGTCGGCGATCGCAAGAGGACTCGCTGGAATCGAAGATCATCATCCTCGATCGAGTACATGACGAGTTCGCCATCAATTGTGCCGGCGACAAGCTTGGTGGAATCCTGAGAATCGACTCCTAGGGTTGTCTTGTCGGAACCAGCAGGCTGAGCGGCCATGCACCAAATGTCGCCGTGCTGACCGCTGGCATGCCTCTTGGGCTTTCCCTTCTCGAGATCCCACTCGGTCACTGTAGAGGTGTAGCCTATGCTGAAGAGGCGCGACTTTCCAGCGACGACGCGTCCATCGCCGAGATCTTGGTCAGGCTCGTTGACCCAAACAAGTCCATCGACGCTTCGATCCTTGCCTCCAGGGATGATGAGCTCCTGGTTCCAGGAGCCATTCGAGGGGTTCCAGATCTCAATGTCGCCATTCGCTCGGCCGATGGCAAGTCTAGCGTTCGAAGCTTGCAGCGCCGACCGCGTCTTTGGGTGCGAGAAGGCGATGGCGTTGATCGCGGACGGCTTGTAGGGGACGAATCGACACCGATGGACGTCCATGGTGACGGCGGTTATTGGCTTTGATTGAGCTTCTCGGTCGCGTTCCGTCGCGTGATTGTGATCTTCCTTTGTTTCAATACCAAATATCAATTCCGAGTGGTTGCGCAGATCGAGAGTTTGTCGTAACCTGCCGCCGCGTACCCAGGCGTTGAGGTCCAAGAAGAAAGATGCTGGCCTCGCAAACTTTCCAAATTTTTTTCTTTCTGGAAGAAATAAGGTGTGGTCATAGCGCCCGAAATGCCCCTCCATCCCCACCTCTTGTGGCAGGAGCAACCAACCTCTCTGCCCCTCTCCGGGCTGCTGCGTCTAGAGCGGCGGCGCGGTGGGCGGCGGGCTCTGGAGCGGCTCCTCTCTTCGCCGATTGAGCGTTTCAGCCCATTCTGAATGCGTCACATTTTGTCCTTTTCGGCCGACTTTGCTTGGATTGTGACTCGAACAATCTGCGCTCCGCCAAAGGAGATTTAATCTTGCCGACGTCATCGCCTCGAGCCTTGCGACACCTTCTCGTCTCACGTCCCTTCTCCATCCCCTCAGCGCGACATCTACCAATAATCTCCGGTTCCCTCCATCTCCGCAACCCCTCGTGAGCTCAGGTGCGCCGCGTCTCCGAGCTATCCACGACTAGCCTGGCTGCCTTGTCAGCTCCGCATCTCCGGCCTCCTCTCCCCAAGTCTCCGAGAGTCCAGCACTGCGTGCTTCCTTTCGTTTACGCCGTCCCCGAAATCTCTCAATCACGTCGCAAAAGGCCGCAATCATGGACTTCAACAGCTCTTCGCCCTTCCCCGAGGGCGTCATCTCCTTCCTCGACACCGATCTGTACAAGTTGACGATGCAATGCGCCGTTTTCAAGTTCTTCAAGGACGTCCCGGTCACGTACGCCTACACCAACCGAACTCCCGACAAAAAGCTGTCGCGAGCTGCTTTCAAGTGGCTCGAGGAACAGATCAGAAGTGAGCTCACTGCGAATCTCCTGGTGGGGTATCCTCAGGACTAACCTTGATGACTAGAGCTCGGAAACATCTCACTTTCCACCGACGAGTACCTTTTCCTCAAGAAGCACTGCGACTACCTCACTGCTGATTATCTCAACTTCCTCAAGGAGTTCCGCCTAAGTCCCCGAGAGCAGGTCATTGCTACCTTTACGCCCGTTGGTGAGGATAATGGAGATGACTCGGTTGTTGGCGACGTCGACATCCAGATCAAGGGACCTTGGGTTGACACGATTCTCTACGAAATTCCCATGCTCGCACTGACATCCGAGGCATACTTTCGTTTCATGGATACGGACTGGAACTATGAAGGACAGGAGGAAAAGGCATTTGAGAAGGGCATGAAGTTGTTGGAAGCTGGATGCGTCACTTCCGAGTTCGGCACGCGAAGACGCCGCGACTACCACACACAGGCCCTTGTGTTTCGAGGTCTGGTGAAGGCTTCTAAGGAGGCTGAGAAGAAGGGCTTCCCTGGCAAGCTCTCCGGAACCAGTAATGTCCACCTGGCCATGCGCTTCAACATCCCCCCTGTCGGCACAGTCGCCCACGAGTGGTTCATGGGCGTGGCGTCGATCATTGGCGACTACAAGAAGGCCACCGAGGAGGCACTCCGACACTGGGTGGGCTGCTTTGGCACTAAGCTTGGTATTGCCCTGACCGATACATTCGGCACTCAGGAGTTCCTACGCTCTTTCAGCCTGCCTGTGCGACCTGTGGAGGGTGGATTCCCAGCCGAGACCTTCCAAAAGGCTGATGGAAGTATGAAGACGTATGCCGAGACGTTTGCTGGAATTCGACAGGACTCTGGTGATCCCGCCGAGTACACCAAAGTGATGCGAGACTTTTACGACAAGCAGGGCATCACGGACAAGAAGCTCCTTGTCTTCTCGGATTCCCTCAACATCGAGAAGTGCCTCGAGTACAAGACCATCTCGGACAAGCTGGGCTTCCAGCCAACATTTGGTGTTGGAACATTCCTGACCAACGACTTTACACACCTCAAGGCCGGCACCAAGTCGGTTCCCCTGAACATTGTCATCAAACTCAGCTCTGCTGGAGGCCGCCCAGCCATCAAGATCAGGTAAGTTCCTGCCCTGGAATTTTGTTGAGATGAATCTAACACCCAACAGCGATAACATCGGCAAGAACACCGGTGACAAGGAGACCGTAGAGAAGGTCAAGAGGGAGCTCGGTTATGTTGAGCGTGAGTGGAAGGAGGGAGATGAGACGGCACGATGGGGAAAAGAGTAAGATACCAAGGCCGCAATCGCCTACGCCATGCACATTTCACCACAAGGTAGATATGGAAAGCAGAGAAAGCGAAGAGGGGGAAGCAACAGCTTGGATACGGCGATAACAACGGAAGCTGAGGACATGATCATTTGAGTAACGATTCCCCAAATAGACGACAAGCACCTACTAGATGCTGCTTTGAAATCAACATGATGCAATACATGTTGGACGAGGACACTCGAGACTTCTGGCTGAGCAGGGTGTCCCTTTCCCTTGATGGTGTGCCACTTCTAGCATCCTCCGAGGTCACTTCCAAGCCAGGGGGGAACGCTTCCCAATGACTTGGTACGAGGCAGTACCTGCCATGTCTGCTTCTCAGGCAGCCACTCAAAGAACCAAGGGGCTCTTTCTATACCGTCAAGGAGAGTTCGCTTCCTGCCATCTTCCCTATCATCCGGGAGCTGGTCAAGAATCACAACAGTGATGGGAACTTGAAAGGTTGACGTTGGAGGGGAGAGTGGCGAGGTACATGAAGGGGAATTTATCAAGCTCTTCAGACGGGACAGAGACAAGTTCATTATAAGAGAGTTACTTTCAGCGCATCATCAAAGCTATTGATGATGAAGTAGTGAACCGAATTGATTCGACTTGGGTATGGAGGATAGGAAGGTACGCTGTTGAGATTGACGGAATTCTTGTCGAGATACTGGCAAGCACGCCCGGCTTCGTCTATTCATCGGGGCTCTCCTTCCTTCCAACCTCTAGAATCTATCTATATAAGCTCTGTCTTCGACGCCCACGACCGACTCATCATTCTTCCAACTCCATCCATCATCCAGCATCCATCATTCACCATCAACCATCAACCATCCATCCATTCCCAGTGCTTCTTCACTTGCACTCTTTGCACATCAACTTCCATCGTTTTAGTTCTTACCTCTTCATCACCCGTCACCATGCTCATCATCAACTCCATCCTTCTCGCCTTGTATGCCACCATCGGAGCGTCGGCACCGACCCTCAACGGCGCCAGACTGGAGGTTGAGCCTCAACCTGACAAGCCAACCTTTCGGGACCTGCCTTCACACAACCCCATGATAACAAATCCCAAACACCTCAACGTCCGGATCATCCTCGAGTCGATACAGGGGCCCAAGAAGGCCAAGAAGGCCGACAAGACCGACAAGACCGGCAAGACTGGCAAGGCCATGAAGGGCAAGGCTGCGAGAAAGACTACGGCTACCAAGACGACAAAGGGTACAGCTCGACTGCATGTTCGCCGCAACAACAACGCACAAGAAGGATCTGGCAAGATTAGCCTCCTCGAGTCCATTGCACAGGCTATCGGCATCGACCCCAAGTCCATCTCCGAATATATCAACAACCTCCGGAACGATTTCCCCGTCCAAGTTGGCGCGCTGCCAACTTGTCTCAACCAGGCCACTCGGGAAAGCCTTACGGCTATCGAAGCTTCACTGTCCAGTATCCCCAAGTGCTTGAGCGCCACCGGCGACGAGATCGAGATTGACACAGATGGCGTCGAGATCGACGCAGATGGCCTACCTGTATGTCTTGATGAGGCGGGCCAGAATGCTCTGGAGTCTATCCAAAATGCACTCATCGACCTTGGCGACTGTGCGACTGCGACCCCCTTGTCCAGGACTTAGGGTTAGAGTTGGTGAACGGTGGAAGATGTCGAATGGGTGTGTAAGATGATTGTTGAACAGTCGAGAGTAGTTCTACCTGTATGAATTGAGAATATTGATACACCAGAGCTTGGCTCATTGGACTGATGTGTGACGTGACCGTGTGATCTTATGTCGTCGTCTCCATTGGCTCTGATCCAGACCACACCTCTCCGCTCCTTTCTTCTGTATCTGTATCCATGGATGGGCGTAGGTATATGCCTAATGGTGATGAGTTCGTCGATGGCTCCCAGCCTGAGCACACGGTCACAGCATTCGGGGCACAGTGAAGATGTACAATATTATCCTTGGTATTGGACTAGCTAACATAGACGCACCTCACTCCAGGTGAGTAAAAATGTACAGACAAAAGTGCGAATTGAGCATGATGTAACAATCATGTCAAGGCTCGCTTCGCCACATCTAGGACGAGGCGGCAATCTCAGCACCAGCAGTCCTTCCATAGACAACACACTCCAACAGAGAGGATCCTCCTAGGCGGTTGTCGCCGTGAATGCCGCCAGTAATCTCTCCAGCAGCAAACAGGCCGGGGATGGGGACGAGCTTGTCGTCGCGCTTCCGCAGGACGTGGGCCTTTTCGTCGATGGCGACACCTCCCATGGTGAAGTGGACAATAGGGGTGACACGACCAATGTAGATGTCTTGGTCACGGTTCTCCTCACCGGGCTTGAGAGTCCATCGGCCGTATGTCTTGCGGCCAAATTCATCCTCTGCTCCCTCGGCGACGGCCTTGGCGTACTTGTCTACGGCCGCGATGGCGGCGGGCTCGAGGTCGCGGACCTTGACCTTCTTCATCAGGCCCTTCCACTCGTAGAAGCTGATGTGGTTGGCAGAGGCCTCTGACGCACCGGGGTCAAGGAGAATGGTCACATCCCACTGCTTGATGGTGCCGTCGCCGTCTGTTGCGGCGGGAAGCTCCATGACGGCTTTGCTGACGTGCTCGCGTGTCTCCATCTCGTTGACAAAACGGGAGCCGGCAGATGAGAGGAGGATGCCACCCTCGCCACGGAGCATCTCGGCAGCGAGGAACTTGAGCATAGTGTTGGGGCTCGCGGGGTCGACGAAGCCTGTGGGGTGGATCTGCACGCTGTCCATATCGAGAAGCTCGGCACCGACGGCGGTGAGGATGTCATGAGATCCGGGTCGCTCCTCGTTGGTTGAAGGAATGCCCTTGAGGTCAGGGCGGTAACGAGCTAGAAGACCGGTGGCATCGCCTGCGAAGCCGCCGCTAGCAAACATGACGGAACCCTCGAGGCTGTGCTTTTCACCCTCGAATTCGTACTCGACGCCCTTGACGGCATCGTTCTCGCTGAGAAGCGCCTTGACTTCGGCGAGGTTGGTGATGGAGAACTTTTCATTCTCCTTGAGCTTGTTGAGAAGAGCAATCACGATGGCAGCTCCGGGTGGTGTCTTTCCGGCACCGCGGTGGGTGCGGGCGAGACTATGGCCGCCAAGAGGAGCGACAACACTCAGGTCAACACCGATCTCATCGACGAGCCAGTTGACGGCTGCTGCGGATTCGCCGGTGAGCTTGGTGATGAGAGTTTCACGGTCGACGGGTGGTTGAGCAAGACCGAAGCGAGAGCCCGCCGAGCGGACAGTATCGCTATAGAAGAGAGTATCGCTCTCGACGCCAGCAGCTTTCTGGTACTTTGTGCCGGCGCCATTGATACCAGAGGAAGCCTTGATGCTGTTACCGCCGGGCTTAGGAGCGCGGTCGAGCAAGTGGACTGAGGGCGCACCACGCTGGAGAGCCTCGTATGAGGCTGAGAGACCTGCGAGGCCGGAGCCCACGACGATGACGGGGCGACGAGCAGCGGATGTAGACATGGTCTTTGAGAACACGGATGTAAAGGTTGAGAGGTGGTTTCCGTAGAGCATAGCAGTGAAAGCTACCGCGATGCCGATGCAGGAGAGGAACAGGATCTGCGGCCTGCTCATTGTCCAGCGGAGGATACGAGGCATTGAATGGGGGGGACGTGGGATGCGGGGAGGCGGTATCGGCCGTGGGTTGCTTTTCTTTTATGGCTGACTATGCTCAAACTGGACACGTTGAGGACATGACGACGACGACGGTGTAGCTTAGCTCAGCAAGGGAAAAACAGTCGGTGACTTGCGAATGACCTTGTTTGGAAGAGGGGGGGTAAATCTGATCAGCGGATGGATGAGAAAGCACGGCAATGAGATGATGGTGGACTGTTGGCTTGGTGGTTCGGAAGCCATCAGGTGATTTTCTATATCGTACGATATCTGATCAGGTTCTGGATTGGAGCTTCTCCGGTGTGTAAAATAGGGGTCCAAAGTGTCGCCATTTATAAGATGATCTTTTTTGTAAACTCCGAAGGATCTCGGTAGACGGAGAGATCGCCTTTTGCTAGATCCAAGATTTTTGGGAATGGGTTGTAGGATTTGCCATGTGGTGCCTTTCCGCCGTGTGTGGGGCCGTGTTGAGATCCGCTTTCGTCGGGGGTGTGGATCCACTCTGCCGTGCCGATCGCCGAGATTTCGAGACGGATCGGGGAGGGCAGGAATGTTGTCAGGCACCAGCCTTGATTTTACCCGCGATACATGGATGATATAGCTTGAGATTTATGACAGTGGAATTTTCCCCTTATCTGCTACACTCTTTGAATACACGGTAGATACAATAGTGAGATGCCATTTCCACAGTTTGTCCCGTCAAGTGGCTACGCGTCGATAAAGTGACCCCCACACAACTGATATGATAAGCCGTATCCGTACCCGTGATCAGTTTCCGGATGCTGTCTACAGTGGGGAGCCTCTGCATGGCGTCGGCACGGGTCATGCGAGATGAACCGGCGGGATCGAGACTGAAACGGCCGTCGGATCCGGACCGGGACAGGCCAGAGGAACCGTCGGTGGGGGCTCCGTTCCCTGCCTTCGGGCTCATTCTCAAGCTCTTACTCAAAATGGCCGCATCTCTTGGACAGCTCACTCAGGGGAAGTTCATATACATTAGATCATTCATCTCTCAATCAGTTTCTATGTCCATTTTGATGCTTTTGTACAAACTATGTACAGTTCCCAGTCAATTAAAAAAAACCGCTATGCCATATATGCAAAATATATCTTCCTCCGTTCGGTAGCGGCTATATGATATGAGCCGGTGAACGCTGGCTGGGGCAGCAGAACACGCTCTTATATACTCCTCCAGCGGAGCCTGGTTCAGTCCGGCTGACAATCTCTTCCTACTTTTATGATAAATTCCAAGTCATGACGCATAACACGCGAGAGTTGTTCTCTCTTGTTGAATTAGGCTAGCTCTCGCTCAGTCTTCTGCTTGCGGAGCTCGCGGGCCTGGTCGGACCAGGGGAAGTGGATCACGGGGACCTGGAAGAAGGAGTTGCTGAATGCAATGTTAGCAAATAGCTTTCATGTAAGAGCCAAGTTTCAAAACATACCTGCTGTCTTGGAGACCAGCCAAGGCGTTGTACCACGCAAGGAACGCGGCAAGGAACCCAAAGAGACCTGCAGCCTTCTGGCAGGCGATCTGAGCAGTGTGGTTGCCCAGGTCGTGGGCGTAGTTCTCGCAAGCGAGCATGAGGAAGCAGATATCGAGGAAGAAGAAGAGAAGGAAGAAGGCGACGGTGGACTTGAGGGTGCAGATGAGGAGGAGGGTAGTAAATATAAACCATCCAGTCAAGAAGAAACCCATGACAGATCCAGTATCGCCCTCATAGGGTCCATCAGCACCGAGAACGTTCCAAGTAGGGGTCAGAAGTAGGCCATAGGCGATCCAGAAGCCACCATAGGACGAAAGAGCAGTAGCACCGAATGTGTTACCAACAGCCATCTCCCTATTGAGTGCGTGTTAGTCAAGGTTTCGAGGTTGTATCTAGTCTGAGAAGTTGACATACCACATGCCAGCGAGCAGCTGAACAAGACCACCGTAGCCAAATGCCAAGGGAATGGCAATGGCAGGAGCGGTCTCACCACGGACATGCATGTTGATGCAAGAGAGAACAAAGGTGGTGAGGGCGAAAGCGCATAGTCCTAGGGGAGCCGGGTTGGCAAACTTGCGGTGCTCCATTGGCTTCCAAAGGCCGGGCTGGAGGGCACCTCCGGATGCTGCTTGCAGGGCAGTGTAGTCGACATGGTGATGATGGTGGTGAATCTCCTGGCCGGAGATGCTCTGGCGATCAAGGGTGACGCTCTTGTCCGAGTCGTGGTGGGAGTCGTGAATACGGTCGGCCATTGTGTTTCTGATTTGAGGTTCGAGGAGGGTATTCGAAGGATAATGTCTAGAAGAACAGGATATCGGCGTCCCAGGGGCAATGGGAGTGGTCGTGATAGAGGTTCTGAAGGAGGGATCGGTGTAAGTGAAGAGGTATAGTTTAGGTCCAGTGGCGTAAACTATGAGAGATCCTCTCGAGGTTAGGAGGAAGGAAGAGATGAAAGACGTTGACTGACGTAGAAGAACAGTCTGGGGAAACGGTGGGGAGAGAGATTGGGTTTTTAAAGTGAGTGACGCTGGGGCAAGATATGATGAGATTTATCTAAACGGGGTCTGGGGAGGGGAGAACAAGGACAAGAAGGGGACGGGACATGAGCAAGCGGAGCAGGGGACTCAAAGACGGTCTCCTCGTGCCCTGGTGGTAGAGCGAGACCAGACTGGGCAGTGGAGGCGACGGCGAGGGGATACCTAGTGGAGGCCAATGGCTAGTGGAGAAGACGAAGTGGAGGGAGGGCGGAGTAAGCGGAGGAGGGTGTGGAGAGAAGAGAACCTGACAGGGGATCTAGTCCATGTCCGGGGTCTTTCTGGGTCTGGATGGATGGATGGGTGTATCAAAGACAGGGGGGTTTATGGATATGTTGAGAAGGAGACTTTTAGAGAGTGACTGTGCGAAGCACATAGACTGCCATTGTGATGAGAAAAACGTCATGTCAAGGTCCAGGTTTTGAATGTTGAGGACTATCGTATGCTTCAGAGGCCACCATGAGGTGAAGCGGTATGAGCGGATGAGGGGATAGTGACACGGGCAGCCATGTCTCTGAGCAACCCGGCTGCATCAACGAGGGATAATAGAAGACATGAGGGGAAATGCAGAGTAGATGCATCATTCTCAAAGCGTACGCCCTCGGACGACCGACCGAGCGGTACAGAAACGGGAGGAGACGGACATCAAGTTGACAAGTCAAGACAGGGTCTTTCGGCAACAACAATGAGGAGGCCCCAACTTTGAGCCCGCGGGGAAGAGATCAGAACTATGGGGAAATGAAAGAACTCGGTGGTAAGACATCTGGATATCCGCCAACAGCATGGTCTGGTCAGCAGCCGAGGAGTGAGAACCCCGGTGAACCCCATGCTTGGTGTCCGGTCTTCAACTTCCAAGCGCTTCAGACAGGCGGAATACGCCCCAAGCGTATGCGGGGGAGTGCTAAGGAGCTTCTGTGTGTGCATAAACCTGGTTCGATCGTCGCCGATTCCATGGTCGCCGGCGTCTTAGATCCGCGGGATGGTGTTGGCGCCACGGGACGTCCCTCTCAGTCACTCGCTCCTTTTCTGCCAACCTGCACAGAAGGACAGCTAAGAGGAGCAGTAATGCATCTGACTAAAGAGGGTAGGTAAGCGTAGCAGGTTTGACATCGGGAAATAAAGTCGGTAAAGGTTGTTTGGGGTGGATCGGTACGAGGCGTGGAGTTAGACCGCGGAGACATGAATGACCCCGAACGTGTTCAGAGAGGAATAGCAAGACCTGATGGAGAAACAACTTGTTAATCCGCGGTGACAGATAGGCTGGAATGAAAAGTTGGGGTAAAACGCATTCCCCATCATCGTGAAGCCTGGATATCCCGGCACAGAGGTAGACAACTCGTCTCATTGGGAGAGCGTCAAAGCACGGCGAGGCGGAAATGGAACGATCCAGGGACCGACAGAACTCGAAAGAGCGCATACAACAAGCATTAGAGTGAATGAGAAGAGACCTGCAGGACACATCATCCGCGGAATTGACGGGGTATGCGTCGTGACGGAGACTGACGATGGATGTTGTGTGAGGAGTAATGGAGTAGACCAACCGAGATGGGCAATTTTTTTCCTCTCCTTGGTACGTACCGTGTGCCTGGTTTCAGCCCTCAACCTCACTGTAGTAATGAGACGGAAGGTACGGACGGCACAGGACGTAATAAATCCGGATATCCTCCTCTCAAGATTGGGGGAGATCGCGTAATCCGCCTCACTTGAGAGCCGAGGGACAGTACGTGATTAGTATACGGCGCCTCCTGAGTGGAGGCATGTCCCCTCACCCGCGGATCGCCTTACGAGATGAATAAACCAGCAATCCAAATTGACGTTTGTCAAGGTAAAATCATAGGAGAGAGGCCGTGAGGGAGAGCACGTGGACTGGACAAACCAAACTCGATGCGTCCAGGGTCGTCAAGGTGGGTGGAGAGAGGTTGGGAGGAACCTAGGCATAGGTGCATGTAGATCCACACCCACACCCAGGCACACACACACAACAAAATTTGACAGGATTTTCCTCCGACGGCTACGGCCGAGATGCAAGACGAGGAAGGGAAGAATGCCAGAAGGGGAGCGGGCGCGGGTGTGATTGGATCAAGGGTGTCTGGGCGTGTTGGAGAAGCTCTAAGCAGGGGTGTGGGAAAATACGACACCTTCTGGGCAAGTGATGCTAGAATTGGCGATGTCAACCTTCAAAACCTCACTGAGACATCAAAAAATAAACAATCTGGAGATTTTGGGCCCTAGATCACAGAAATCTGGGGAGACTCTGGGGTCTGGAGAAGGAGCTGCTGCTTGTTTCCCCGTAAAATCTGTTCCAGCAAATGACGATGACGGTGAACATGATGATGAATACAAGATCCGAGGCAAATCTCCCCATGGACGTTGACCGAGGGTTGGCCCAAACTGGTGCAACAGTGGGGAAGAGAAGAGAGGCAAGATAGCAGCAGGAATCTCG